AAATAACTAGGTAGAGAGCCTCCAAGTTCAAATCAATCTCACACACAAGGGTAACAAATCTTTTCGGAAGAAGAAAAACCTATCCAGAGAGAAGTACCTCTTCTCCCACCTTCACCCACTGGAGAGAAAAGTGAACTGATCACTCCAGATGGTTCAAAAACTGCTAGAAACCAAACCACCTCCTATATAAAACCTAGAGAAGTTCAAAAAGGTCTAAGTTCCCAATATTAGATAAAAAATAAAGAGTCCAACTTGACTAGGGCTCTTCCCCACACTCCATTTCTTCTTGATTTTGATGCCAAAACATAGATCACCTCTTGATGACTGAAACCCACCAAAAAATCCAAGACCTGGGCAGTCTGAAGTGGATCGATCAACCCTTTATCTCCTCATGTAGTCGGCTGATCTAGGATTGCGTAGTACCCTAGTCTTGCTTTGGTACCAAGTAAAAAACTGCTGATTCAAAGAATCTGTAAAGAAAAGAAATGTTTCTAGAGGAAGAAGAGAAAGAGAAGTCCCTTTTAATTAAAAAAGGGTACAATGACTAACATGCCCTTATAGGGCGGCTAACACATAAAACTGCATAAATAACTTAAAATAACCATTCAAAAAGGACTCAACAAGTGTGCTATGGTCCCTACTTCCTATCTAAACAAATAATAAACAAAAACAACTACTAAATCTGCACAAATCTGCCCAAAATCCCCAACATATTTACCTCCACCTCTGTGTTCACACAATCACACCCTCTCCAAATCAATTGAATTTTCAATTTCATGAGTTTCATCAATTGTCACCTCTTTATTATTGGAATCAAACTGTTCAGTTTTCTCCTCTTCTTGATGATTTCTTTTGTTTTTGTTATGCACAAATTTCGTTCTAAAATTTCTTTTCCATTTATACACCCTCAAAACTAAGCCTATTTCTATTGTCCTCTTTGTTCTTTTTTTTTTAAAGGTAGCTATTATATTCAAAAGGGACAAAAAAAGGGAGGGGGGGGGGAAGAGATGTACATGAGATGATCCAGGAAAGATCATCTCCCCAGAAATGTATAGGAACATTGGAGTTTAGCATAATGCTTCTAGTTACCTCCAATATATGCCTATTCTTTCTCTCAACAAATCCATTTTGCTAAGGTGTACGGGGACAAGTGCTCTGATGAATAACCCCATGGTCAAGGAAGTATGAGGCCAAAGGTTTGGCAAGATATTCTTTGGCATTATCTGATCTTTTGACTCTAAATTGGATCAAAACCATTTGATGGAAGTTCCGAGTCAGGGCAAGGACTTCATCTCGAGAGTGCATAAGATAAACCCATGAGAAACGGGTATAGTCATCAACAAACAACAGAAAGTATCGGTGTCCCCCCATAGTAGTGATGTGGTATGGTCCCCAAACATCAGTATGGACAATTTCAAAAGGAATAGTACTTCTTTTATTGCTCAAAGAATAGGTTGTTCTACAATGCTTTGCAAGCTCACAACTTTCACATTTTAAACTAGACATTTGGATTGACTCAAACAAACTAGGAAACAAATTCTTTAAAGACCTAAAAGACAGATGACCTAACTGATTATGCCAAAGCATAATTTGACTCACAGATTGAGAAACAAGAGACATTCCAGCTTCTTTATGAAGGTTGTGATTTGACAGAGGGAAGGAATCTGAAGGATTTAATAATTTACTCTGAAAAGGCCTCGAGTTTGAAGGTAAATTTTGAGAAGAGTTGTGTTGTGGGGGTTCATTTGAATAGAGAGGAGGTGGAGTCTATAGCAGCCTTGTTAGAATGCACTTGCTCTCAATGGTCTCTATCCTATTTAGGACTTCCCCTAGGTGCAAATCCAAAGGAAAGTAGGTTCTGGAATCCGGTGGTTGAAAATTTTGAAAAAAGATTGGCAGCTTGGAAGAGGAACTACATCTCCGTGGGTGGTAGAGTTACTTTGATTAAAGCAACTTTAGCCAACTTGCCTTTATACTTCCTATCAGTTTTTAGAATTCCTAAAAGGGAGGCAAAGGGGTTGGAAAAACTGATGAGGGACTTCCTATGGGAACTTGGTGTAGAGAAAAAAGACCACTTGATTAGGTGGGAGGTGGTGAGTAGGAGCAAAAAAGGAGGACTAGGCTTAGGGAACGTGGTGAGTAAGAATGAGGCTCTTTTAGGTAAGTGGCTTTGGAGGTGGCCCTTGGAGAGGGAGAGGTTGTGGCATGAAGTAGTGAAAAGTATCCATGGCTGTTCTGAATGAGGTTGGGATGCGGGGGTATCCCGAAGGGCTTTGCTCACAACTCCCTGGAAGGCTATCTCTAGCATTCTCCCTAATTTCCTCAGGTTTGTAAGGTACGATGCTTGTTCTAGAAACTCTATTCTTTTTTGGGAAGATACTTGGGTGAGCACTCAACCCCTAAAAGACCGTTTCCCTTCTCTCTATTCCATATCCCTCTTTAAAAAGAAACCCATTTCTTGGTTCCTCCCCCCCCCCAGTTTGCCCTTTGGCTTTAAATTGGAATTTTGGGTTTCGGAGAGGGTTAAGGGATGAAGAAGTTCTTTGTGTCTCAGAGTTGTTGCTTCTAGATTCGGTGTGCCTGGACCCCACTAACCCGAACAAAAGAGTCTGGTCTCTAAACCCGGTTGGCTCTTTCACTTGCGCATCTTTCTTTAAAGCCCTTTGCTCTAACCCTTCCTCTCAAATCTTCCCTGTTAAAGAGGTTTGGTCAAGGCCAATGCCCCCCAAAGTAGCAGTGTTCTGTTGGGAAGCCTATTATGGTAAGATCAATACTGTGGAAAACTTGCAAAAGAAGAAACCTTCTTTGTGTTTGTCCCCAAATTGGTGCTTTATGTGTAAAGTGAAGGGTGAGGACTGTAACCATTTGCTGATATTGTGTTCCTTTGCTGCCAATATTTGGAATTGGGTGGTTTCTTTATTTGGGTGCAGGTGGAACTTGCCCTCTGAAGTAAAGCTGCTGTTCACTCCAGATTCTCTTGGGAGATTGACAAAAAGGGGGAAGATAATGTGGAAATGTATCAGAGCCGCCACCTTGTGGATTTTATGGGAAGAGAGAAATGCTAGAATATTTCAAGAAAATGAAAGAAGTTTTGCTGAAAGTCGAGGAATGTATATTGACAAAGACAATTTCATGGCTGAAATCTTCACAATTGCTGGCAGATTTCTCCTTTGATGACTTAAGTAAAAATTGGGAAGCAGTGGCTTCTACAGTCTCCACTAAGAACAAATTACAAGTTGAATGGAAACCCCCACCGGATGGAGTGGTAAAATTGAACTTTGATGGCAGCTGCCAAGGTAACCCAGGGCCATCCGGAATTGGAGGGATTTTGAGAGATAAAGACAGCAATACATTGTCTCTCTTCTCAGGACCAGTGGGTGAAGGCGATTATGTAAGGGCAGAGCTGCTAGCAGCGGTACAAGGCATACAGATGACTAGTCGATTAGGAGTGAACAATTTGTTAGTAGGAGATTCCAAGGTAGTAGTGGGCTGACTGAATAGCCCAGACACAGTTTGTTGGGGCTACAGGGATCTGTTAAAGAAAGTTAAATGGATGACAAGAAATATGACTGTTAGGTTCCAGTGGGTTAGCAGATCAGCAAATGTAATGGCCGATTCTCTGGCCAAGCAAGGGGTGTCGAGGGGTGATCTGTTTTGGGCTACTTTGTAATTTGTATCTCAGGTTTGGGCATGTTTTAGTTTTTATGATTCAGTCCTTGGGGGAGGTAACATCTCGTGCCTCTTCTTAGGCTGCTTGTTTTTCTGATTTTATTTCAATAAAATTACTCTCATTTATCAAAAAAAAAAAACAGGATGTATTCAGTTACAGTTCGATCATACCTTATCCATCAAGGTAGCAGATATTTTGTTGACTGTATTCATTGTTTATGTTGATGATACTGTGGTGATTAGTAATGATTATACTTAGGTGGATTGATTAAAGTATTTCTTACACTAGGAGTTTGAAATAAAAGACTTGGTAGGGCTTCAATGTTTCCTAGTGATTGAAGTGTCTAGGTCAAAATATGAGATATTTTTTATCCAAATGCATCGATGTTCTTAACCTATAGAAGACAGAAGTTAGGGGTCAAGCCTGTGGATACCCCAATTGATAAAAAACCATAGGTTGAATACTAGTGGTGGAGAGGGACTTAAGATGTTGGATGATATTATTAGCTAGGTGGTAGGTTGCTATTATCTATCTATGCATTACTAACCCTAATATATCAATTGCTGTCAGTGTAGCTAGTCAGTACATGCATGCTCCCAGGAGTTTCATCAGATTGCTGTGGAAAGAATTTTAACCTATCTTAAAATGTGTCTAGGCAGAGATAGCGTATCTTCCTTGACATTTGCAGGTATTAGATCCCCCTTTTTCTTGTTCCCAACAACACTTGTCTACCTCACAATCAAGGGACCAAATCCATATCTTTATGAACCTGAATGGTCTCTTCTATGGGGGATGAAAAAGTTTGATCTTTGAGATTATATAGCAATCTAGTGCTCTATCAAACGTACTTATGAGGTATTCTATTGCACTTGCAGCCACCATGCTTCTTGGCCCAGCCTGAAATCTCATTTAAATTACAGGTTGCCATCCAAGGTCCCGTTCCAATGTCTACCAGACATTATTTCTGTAAGCAGCATCAGGTTCATTGTAGATAAATGTGCATCTTCAAGAATGCCTTAGTGGGGCCTGAGCTCCTTCCTAGATGCATAGGCAATTAGGTGGCATCCTGTTGCTTAACTTTTGTCTTGCTGCCTGGATAGCTAATTTATGTATACAACCAAATGTACGCATCTGAGTTTAGGCTATTATATGTATAGGCTCTCACAGAAGCACCCGCACTACTCTGAAAGGGTAGATTTGCCTGGGCATTTACAACATTTACAAATGAATATGCATGCATGTAAGATGGTGGCAGAATTTTCTTTATTTAATTTACTCAGCACTCTAAATGATGGAATCCTGATAATAACCAAGCTTGTTTGTGTTCCAGATGCTGGAATTGGCTCTATCTCACTTGCTTGAGGGTCGTCATATATTTGATGATTCTATTGCAAATCCTTTGAGGAATGACCATGCCGAAGTTTATACCAAGTTTTGGAGTCAATTACGACAAGTACTGAAGAAGATGTTAGCAGTGGGCCTATCAGGAAATGCAAACAAGTGTTCTGCTACCCAGACAGCTTCAACGAATAGTAAATATGGAGATATTGGGAAGCTGAAGGAGCTGTACAGGGTGTCACTACTGTCGACAGATTTGAGTCAATTGCATTCTATGTATGAGTTGTTGATGTCATTAGCTCCAATGGGCTCTGATCCTGTTATATCCTAGTCTAAATATTCTGATGCTTGTTATGGAAACAGATTCAGAATGGAAATTCTGGTTTCTGAACTTAGATGCTCTGTAGAGTTGCAAGAGATCAGAATCAATTCAGGAAAAAACACGACACGGATAATTTTGGTTATATTGTCGAGTCTGTTGTATTCTATGATGTTGCAGCCCAGCCTGGTCTGACCCGCACAAGCCCCACCCTGTATATATTTAAATATATACAGGTACAGGATTGGCCCGGCCTGACCTGTATATATTTAAATATATGTGTTTTATATGTACATTTTTTTTTGTTATATTGAGGGTGGGTAATAATATATGGCGCAATGGTTGGGTTACTCTTGTTCCATTGTGACTTGGGTGATCAAGGTTCAAATCTTGGAAACAGATTGTGTAGAGAGGAGTTTACATTGGTGGGAGGCTTGTGCATTGGGCTGCTTCTCTTAATTTTATGTTATATTATATGTATTGTGTATAAATATTATAATATGATACTTATAATATATATTATAAATAATATTTTATGTTATATAATAATAAAAAGAAATTTATATGCTATTCAATATGATATATTATATAATTGTAATATTTTATATAAAAGATGTAAGTCTAGAATCAAACCTGGCCTGACCCACGCTTGGGCCTAGGCTATTATCCTTATCATAGGTGCAAAGATCGGCCCATGATCCCTCCTATTGGGAGGATATAGATTGTGTAGAGACTAGAGTGGAGTTGCTGAACAATTGATTCAGGCCCAATCAACTATGTTTTAAAAAAGAAAAAAAAAAATCAACTATGTTGTAGGTGTAAGAAGTTCAAAGTAAGTGATGAAATGAAGGCCTAGTTGATTCGGTCTCGCAAAGTCGTGGCTGAGCCTAAGATATTACTTTGCGAAGTCAAGATATTCTAGTCTTACAAGTTCCCTTGCGCGACAGTGTCGGTCGAATCTCATAAATTGCCTCGTGAGGCTGCATTAATCTGACCTCGTGAGTCGCCTCACCAAATCTTGTTGCGAGGCCATAAAATCTGAATTGCAGCTCCCTYCTAATCTACTAGTAGTCCCTTTTTAAACCGCATCCTATCTGTGGATTTGGCATCAATCCATAGTCGGATTTAGTCCACCCCATAGAATGGAGCTCTAGATTTTCAAGGGTGGATTGACCTATAAAACCCCAAAAATAAATCGTTCACGGAGTTCTATCCACTTTGCCAATCCCGCCAAGTGTTTAAAAGTAAATATGCATATATTTCTTGTGAGGCAAATTAAACATCAAATAGAAGAGTACAACGAGAGTCATGTTGAGGATGTTAGATGCATGATCAGTGCCTCGGGAAATCATGACTGGTTGTGCCTGAAGAGACCCAAGATCATGTTCTAACAGCCTTGTGGTCTTGAGGGACACGTGTCCCAAAAGAAGCGATAAGTGAGATCTATGTTGTATAAGTTAAGGAGTATTCTAAAATTTCAGCTTTATGCAGTCTTTCTCCCTTAACATCATCTATAAATAGGGAGACCATCCTCTGTGAAGGGGATTCGATATTCATTCCACTCAGAGATAATTTCTGCTCCCTATTCTCCTTGGTGACATCTTCCTTTCCGATTTCAGAACCCTAAGTCCATCTTAATCCCTACTGGCTTAGATCAAGAATCTTTAGTTTGAGTTCTATTTGAAGAATATGAAGATGTCATCATGCAGAACACAATGGATGAGAATCGAAGAAGTTATACCAATTCCACCACCACCATCGGAGGAGTTAGTTCACATAGATCCACTAGAGATGGAGATAATAGACATTTCGTCTCATGGAAGATAAAGACGATAACATGCACGATGATCAATGGGCTAGTCTGCCCGAAAAAATGTACGAGTTGCAAGACTAGCTTTACAGAATGGAGGAAGAACAACAATAAAGGATACAACACATGGAGCAAAAGCAAGACTACCTATTCTAACTCCTATAAACCCATTTCTCAGCATCTGAAGTCCAAACTCCACTAGCAGCACTAATAGCCCAAACGCTACTGGATTCATCCCTTGATCCAATCGCACTAGCAGGAAGCCATCCAATCCTAGGAACCTCTAAGATTCATCTAGAATTATAATTCCCACCAACATCCCAATCTCCCACACCCCTATCACTACCAATACACCACCCACTATCCCTAGTTCTGGTAGATATAAGTTCAACAATACCTGAGCATTGGAAAGAAAAGATCCAACACCTAACCAAGGAGGAAATCATTGAGTACCTACAGTCGGTGGTTTCTAGAAATAAGCCTAAACCCTCATCCTACTAGAGAACCTACCCCATCCACATTGCAAGAAAACCTTACCCACCTGGTTACTAACCACCACTAACCTAGCAAATGTATGATGGGAATTGGGGAATGCCAAGTAACACATTAGTAAGTTTGAGGACACTCTAGGACCCAACTCCATGGATGGAGACATGAAGCAAAGAGATTTCTCAAAGACTCTCATGGGTTAGGTGTATTCATGGTTCATAAACCTGGTTCCCAATAGCATCAACACTTAAGAGGACCTGATGGAGAGGTTTGTGATGAAGTGGTTCACATTGGAGAGAAGGATGACCTTGGCTGATTTGAGGAACATATGGTAATACAGTTTAGAGGAATCAGGAAATTATGTTTATGATTTAGGAAAAAAGCAACAAAAATGCTTGGAGAATATGAAGAAGAGATCATAGTAAATGAATGCATTCGGGGGATGAACCCTAAGGACCGAGTATGGATAGAAAACCTTGACATAGTAAATTTCTCAAAGCTATATTCTGTGCAGAGAGGATTGGCACATGCTAGATTGCTAGCGAGGCACAAAAATACTCACAACAAGGTAGGTTTTCACGAGGAGGGCGCGTACCCCCTAGACGAGGCATAGGAAGATCACCTCGTAGCTCACCAGCAAGGCTAGATTTCAGTCCCTCCACAATTCCCCTACACTAGAAGATGGAGCTTCCATGAGGAGGTTGACTGCATATGAGAAGATAAAGCAGCCACAAACCTCACACCCACCCACTAAAGTGAAATATGATCATCCATTGATCATGTTATGCAGCAATTCCAACCATTAGAGTAATGACAAATCAATTTTTTTATTGAATAATGCTGAAATCACATAGGAGAAAATTTTGGGTTTTGAACCATGAAAGATCTAATCTTTTGGGTCAAGATTCAGTGCATTACCTGATTTTGAAGTCCACAATTGTAGAATTCAATGTATTGTTTATACTCAAGCCACATCTTCCTCAAATCACTATAAGAAGTTGAAGATTATGCAACATTAAACTTGCAGTTTTGGGTTCTTTCTCTAGAAGTTACAGAAGTAAAGGTTCAACCTTTCTCATGCTTTAGGGAAAGATTTTTTACCCAAAACAAATTTGAAAAAGTGCTAGATAGAGTGGATATAAGGGCTGGTGGAATGGGGTTCAAAACCCTAGTCAAAATCTCTCACAAAAGTAGGGTAGAATTCAGCTAATAATGAGAGAATGGGATATCCGACCCCTTCATGTTCCAATCTATTTATTGATTTGGGAGGGCTGCATGAGCCCTCTCCTAATCTAATGCTAACTCTTAACTTATTTAGCATAAGATTAGAGAGTCTAACTCTTTTAAATCGGCCATTAAATTGGATTCCATCTAACTAGTCTAAGTAGTCAAATCCTAGCCTTACTAGACTTTTCTACCACATAGTTTGACTAGAACTCTAATGTGAGATTTCTAATTATCTATTAATACTATAATAGTTCTGGACATATTTTTATCCAATTGAGAAATTACATCTTGTATGGTGCGAGACACACAACTCAATGGGAGATCCAATATGTCACATATGCTTTATGCAAGCTAATGGGCCAGCTAGTTACATTCTGATTAGCCTCGTAGGCTAATTCAACCCATGCTGATATGGGCTTAAGTAATCAAGCTATAGTCTCTAAACACTTAAACTACTTGGAACCTTACCATCTTAAAGGCCCAAGTCCATTGGTTCAACCCATTATGTGACAATCAAGTCAATGCAACTCAATTAGTTACTTGCAATTAATCTCTGCTAAAAATATTTGACACCACATTAAGGGAATGACTTTTTCCCTCTTTATCTTTATGACATAGTGTCTAATTTCCAACACCAGTTGGATGATTGGATCCTTCGTTGAAGATTCAGATAATCTTACTATCGATAAATTAAGGAGTCCAAAGAGGAAATTGTACAAAGTATTTTCTATGTCTATACATAGTACTAGATTTTATCACATTGATCACCAGTTGAAATACTATCATTGAATATCCCAACATACCTAGGTATATGACCCCAGAAGGATATCATTGGTTGGCATATCAAAAACAGACAAATTTGGTACTCAAACTGATACCAATATCAGGTTCAATAATTAAAAGCAACACCTAGTTGTTCCACATCACAAAGTCCAGGAACAATCTGAGTTTGGTTTAATTCAATATTTCTACTAAACACTCACCCTCACACCTTATATTACAACCTAAGCAGTTGAGACCCATTATTCCACAAACTTGGGTAGTGTGAGAATGACAACCTTGTCAAGATAGACTTCCCCAAGTGTATCCACTGGTTGTGAAGATTTAAGCCCATATTAAATTAATTATGTGGTCTCATACATAATACTAACTTGAACCAATGATAATTTAGGAGAACAGCCTAAATGACATGAAATGAATGTTCCTTTGTTCATAATAAATTATATACAATACATTAATTGGAGATGAGGACATACACACTGTCTAACATAAAAAGAGAAACAAAAGCCCATTTATTGTGAGTTCCACCGGTCCACCATACATGATTTGATTGATGTTATAGATTGAGAAAGTTATTCAAAGAATTGGTCTACTTTGAGGACCCAAAGAAAGGGCAAGGCAACAAGAGCAATATGGTAGACAATAATCCCCTCCCACATCACCCACCGGATAGAAGAGTCAACACTATCAATGTAACAGTGATCAACAACATAGGCAAAGCACCCCTGGAAGCAAAGTTTAATCGGAATCAACATCTGCAACAATTCTTTTCAAATCAAAGCAATCCTGGAGGAAGTGCAACAAAGAATGATAAAACTAATGACAAGAGTAAGGATCAGAG